AAGCTGTCCCAACAGAAGAGGTCTTTTTGATCTCGAATAGAGACAAACTTTCCTAATGCCATGAAAAATAAGAGAAGTAAATAGTACACAGGTGTATGAGGGATTTTTATGCCAACCTCTGTTTTTAATACCCATTTTTCGAGTACATTACAGATATACAGTCAATACATTGCACAATATAGCACCCACTTTATACTGTGTACCCAGAAGCCCCAATGAAACAAAAAACTAGGTGCATGCCCAAAAGCCAATTACATGAAACTGGTTTGGTTAGAAGGCACTTTCAAGGACTTTAAAAGTCCACGATAGTTACAAACTTTATTATAAACATCATTCTCATTCTAAGCAGGAAAGGGGAATCGGCTGGGCGCGGTGGCTCAGGCCTGTAATCCTAGCACTCTGAGAGGCCAAGGGGGGCGGATTGCTCGAGGTCCGAGGTCAGGAGTTTGAAACCAGCCTGAGCAAGAGCGAGACCCCGTCTCTACTATAAATAGCAAGAAATTGATTGGCCAACTAACATATATATAGAAAAAATTAGCCGGGCATGGTGGCGCATGCCTGTAGTCCCAGCTACTTGGGGAGGCTGAGGCAGCAGGATTGCTTGAACCCAGGAGTTTGAGGAAGTTGCTATGAGCTAGGCTGATGCCCTGGCACTCACTCTAGCCTGGGCAACAAAGCAAGACTCTGTCTCAAAAAAAAAAAAGGAAAGGGGAATCAACTTCAAGCATGGTGAGAAGAACAAAGTCTGGTGGGCCATCAGGGACAAATGGATACTAAGGACAAATTTAGAAAAAAACCTCTATCATAATTAACAAAGCTTTAAGCTATAAAGATGACTATTTAGTTCACCAGCGTGATCACAAGGAGATGGGACAGGGTAACATAGCAAGCATGTTAAAGGGTTTCAGTTTGGCTTTGTATTACAGGAGCCAAAGGAAATTTCCTAGGGAACTAGAGAACTTTGCTGGCCTAGAAAGAAGGGCACATTCTGTCCTTTATTAATCTGAGAATATTTATTATTTACAATATGCATGGCGCTGTGGCTACAGAGACAAGGCAAAGGGAGAGTTAGAGGTTTGACATGGTTGCTGGCCTCTACTTTAAGAGGGAGAAATAACTTGTTTTCTAATAACATTACTGTAAGACTAAGTACCACTAAGTGCTAGAAGAATTCAGAAGGAAAGCTCAATTTTAGCTGACGTGATCAGGAAAGTTTTGTGGAAGATTTAAGAAAGGATCCTGATAGGCAGAGATGGGAGCAGGCATTCCAGAGAGAGTACATGGTGTGAACAAAGGCATGAAAGAACACAGCTCTGGGGCAGTGAACAATTCGCCCTTGGACATCCATAAATGAATCTTGGAAAGATAAAATGAGGCCAGACTGAAGAAACTGAAAATAGCCTGAAAGCCTACTTAAGGTGGTGTCCTTTATCCAATAGTAGTGGGGATCCAGGGGATTAATGTTGCTTCCTGTTACTTTTCTGAGATTGTCTTTTACTTGCAAGCAAAGTGGTTGCTTATTTGTTTATTCCTTGAGAATCATGTGATTTCTTGACCACTAAGAGAAGGCTCTCAGATTCCACTCTGCAATTCGGTACAGTTTTGTGGAGGTCTACCCTAAGATGGACCTTCACAGATAACATCCCGTTTTTAAGATTGATTTCCCCAAGTACCCATCACAATATAGGCACATAAAAGTTACTCCTGGAAGAAAGAAATGTAGTATCTGCAAGCCAGGAGCCCTGACTTTGCACAGTTTAGTGCCACCCTGTCTAAATTTGTGGGAGTGTACAGATACGATAACTCCTCAGGAACGGCAGTTGCACCATCATAGCCTACCCAAACACTATCGAAAGAGAAAAGTTGTGAACAGACCCCACCATTACTTCATTTCAGAAAGGGACAAGCCATTGTAGTCTTCATTTAAGACGGCAGCCTACATATTCCGTGTTTTCTAGGTTACCTTCTAGACACTTGAGGGAAATACTGTAGTGGATATAGTAAAATAACATAGCCTCCAGTTGCTCCTTTGACATATGAAACTGTGTAAACTGAAATACGCCTCGTCAGGTTCCCGTTCCCCCAGGAAGCAACAGAAACTGAGCGAAAACACTTATCAATTTTGTTTTCTTAAAATCGGAGGCTTTATGAATACAATTCTCAAACGTAAGATAGCATCCATCCACCCTAGATTTCTGAGGGAATGACATTTCATTTCCCCCCAAAATAGTTTAGATTTTACCCACATTTGAGCTATCAGGATTGCCTTAAACCCGTCAAGGGTCCACCCACCTCCCCTGCGACCCCATCAGGGTGGGGGAGGGGGCACTGTCACGGCTTCACCTGCCAAAGACTGTCGGTGGAGAAGCCCTGGGCTTCCCCGGCCACCAAGGACGGTGTCCCAGGGGAGAGGGGCGGTTCTGCGACCTGGGCCCGCAGGACGCCTCCCCGCGCGCGGCGGCGCTGGGACGGGGCTCAGCTCCGGCGGTCCGGCCCCGGCCCAGGGCTGCACGCCCCGCGGGCGGGGACGCGGCACTCACCGGACTGCTGGGGACCGGGCCAGCGGGAGACCAGCACCCCCGCGCCCACACGGCCTCGGCGGCGGCCGCGGTGGGAGGGGCCGGAAATGTTTACAGCTCGAGCGCCGAGCAGCCGGCGGCCCCGGCGGCGGTCCGGGCGCGGGGCCGGGACCCTCGGGGCCCCAAGGCCGGCCACCCCTCCCCCACCGGCTGCCCCCGCGTCAGGCCCGGGCCGGGCGCCCGGGGTCCCCGCGCCCAGACCGCGTCCCCGCTCACCCGTCAGCCCCGGGGACTCACCGCCGGGAGGGCAGGCTCTGCTGGGGGCCGCGGTCCCCCGGGCTACATCCCGCGGCGCTGGAGGCGGCCTGCGGCCGAGCGGCCCCGGATCTTCAGCGCCCTCCCCGCGCCGGAAGGGGCGCGCGACCGCACGCGTCACCTCCGCCGCCGCGTCACCTCCTCGCGGGCCCCACCGCGCGCTCCAATCGCAGGCCTTGCTCGCGGAGTCCCGGCCGCAGGGCCAGGCCCCGCCCCTCGGCCACACCCCCCGCGCGCTGGCCCCGCCCCGCCGGCCCTGGCCCCGCCCCCGCCGGGCCCTGGCCACGCCCCGCTCCTGTCGCAAACTCGGGCTGCCCGCAGGCTCTGCGCTCGCTGGTCCGACTCCACACTCGCGTCTCCCCGGCCACTGGCTGGAGCGCGTGACGGCGAAGGAATTTCAGCGCATTAGGCCGAACCCTGGGAAGGAATGCTGACTTTCCTACCTTGCACCTTGTCGTCTGAGCCGGGAATTCCTGGCATGTCCTCTGTCGCCAACGCCAGCGGTTTTATCCCCCAAACACTTAATCCCTTCTTCTCCAACCTCATTCATGGTCCCTCCCTCCCTCCCTTCCGCACATTACTCCGGGAGCGCCTAGCATGTGCCAGGCAGTTTGGGCTCCTGATGTTTCTTGTCAGAGACAGCGGAATTGTTTCTAGCTAGTCTGGTTTTGAAAGTCCCGGGTTCCAGCTCGTGCATCCAGAGTGCACGTTCGGGAGACGACACTGGGTGGGGGGTGCAGCCCTCCTCTGAACCCGCACAGTGCAGCAGAGCCTTGGGGGGGGTCTCACCATTTTCTTAAATCTCCCGAGGATGCTGTGCAAATAGTGCCACTCTAAATGTAGAGAGAGTAACTCCTTACAATCTTACAGGGATGCCGCAGGACAGTGGAATTAATTCTCTTGGTGCTGGTGAAGACCGTGGGCTCTGGGGTCACATAAGGCCCAGGCTTCTGTCCCTGGCCAGCCTATGATCTTAAGCACGTTACTTAACTCCTCCAAATAATAACTACGTCATCTAACAAAATATAGAATAAAATAATACTGTTTCGTTGGGTGTTTGTCAGGATTAAGTGAGATAATTCATGCAGGCTCTTGGCACAGGGCCTGGCCAATGTAAGTGCTTCATAAACATCAGCTGTTACTGTGTGGCCCACTGTGTAAAACCCTCAGAAACTTCCCAGTGTCTACAAGATTGGGTTCAAGTTTCTTCAGCAGGGCAGTTAGCAGGCCCATTACAAACTGGCTGTAATCTACTCTCAGGCCTCATCTTTCTCCATTTTCTCTCTGGCAGGTTGGGCCTCAGTGAACTTCTAGTTCTTCAAATGTGAATTTTTCTCTTTCATTCCAAGTCCAGGCTTTTGCGCATGCTGATCTTTCTGTTGGATCGCCCTTCCCCCATTGCCTGCTGCAAGATCCAAGCAATTTCCAATGCCCCATTTTGGCTTTGGCCTAAGACAATCTTAAATTCACATTCAGGCTCTGCCAGCCAATGACCAGCTACCTGTGTGACCTCTGACAAAGCCTTAATCTTCGACTTTCAGGATTATCATAGGGATTAAATTATATGATGTAGATACAGTACTTAGCACAGTACCTGGTACATGGTTGTTAACTAAAAAATGTTAATTCTCTTTCTCCTCTTCTTCCTTTTATGAATCTTTTTCAACCCTTTTCCATCTGCACCTTGTATGTATGTATAGGATTAGTCACACTGTATTGTAACTATTTGTCACTTATCTCTTACATTATGAGTTCTTTGAGTGTTTTTGTTTGTTTGCTTTGTTTTCTAAGACAGTCTCGCTTTGTTGCCTGGGCTAGAGTGAGTGCCTGGGCTCAAGTGGGCCTCCTGTCTCAGCCTCCCAAGTAGCTATGACTACAGGCATAACTCACCGCACACAGCTAATTTTTTGTTTCTATTTTTAGTTGACTGGCTAGTTATTTTTCTATTTTTAGTAGAGACAGGGTCTCTGTCTTGCTCAGGCCGGTCTCGAACTCCTGACCTCAAGCGATCCTCCCTCCACCTCAGCCTCCCAGAATGCTAGGATTATAGGTGTGAGCCATCACGCCTGGCAGAGTTCTTTGGGGTTCTAAAACCAGTCTTGGTCACACTTGTATCCTTAGGGCCTACCACAGTGCTTGGCACATGATAGGTCCTTAATAAATGTTTGCACGTTGAGTGGATGAGGCAGAAACTTGTGTAAGACAAGGAATGGAGAACTTCCATATGGGAAATTCTCTTTGCAGGGCTGCTTCACTATCTGAGCCCAAAAATCCTGAGCAAGATTTTCCTTTCTGGAGGTGAGGTAGCTGTGACTATGTCTTATGAAACACAGTACCATGCACATACTAGCTGATCAAGATATTTTTATTTTATTTTATTTTATTTTTTGAGACAGAGTCTCACTCTGTTGCCCGGGCTAGAGTACTGTGGCATCAACCTAGCTCACAGCAACCTCAAACTCCTGGGCTCAAGTGATCCTGCTGCCTCAGCCTCCCAAGTGGCTGGGACTACAGGCATGTGCCACTATGCCCGGCTAATTTTTTCTATATATTTTTAGTTAGTAAATTAATTTCTTTCTATTTTTAGTAGAGATGGGGTCTCGCTCTTGCTCAGGCTGCTTTTTTTTTTTTTTTTTTTTTTGAGACAGACTCTCACTCTGTTGCCTGGGCTAGAGTGCTGTGGCGTCAGTTTAGCTCACACCAACCTCAAAGTCCTAGGCTCAAGCAATCTTTCTGCCTCAGCCTCCCGAGTAGCTGGGACTACAGGCATGCACCACCATGCCTGGCTAATTTTTTCTATATATTTTTAGTCGGTCAATTAATTTCTTTCTATTTTTAGTAGAGACAGGGTCTCGATCTTGCTCAGGTTGGTTTTGAACTCCTGACCTTGAGTGATCTGCCCGCCTCAGCCGATCAAGATATTCTTGATGGCATACCACCAACAGAATTTACTGAAGACTCTGCCCTACGGAGAATTCTGAAGGTCCCACAAGCCTTTCTCTAAAGGTCCACAGAGATAGCAGTACACAGTTTCATGCAGAAGAGCAATGCTGTTGTTCCGCCTGAGCCTAATGCATTGTTTTGTCCCAGTGAGACTAACAACGAAGAATGAAGAGGCTGCCTAGTCCTACCTTGGGAGAAGGGAGTGGATTGGGTCATGCTCTCATAGCAGAGGAGAAGGGTGCTCAGGACAGATGGGCCTGGGGGAGGCCAACTCTGCCTAGCAACCAACCAGTCTGGCTGGTGACATCAGGTTACTTTTTAAAGGAGTAGGCTGCTTCTCTTCCAAACAGAAAGGCAACACTTTGATTTATTTGCCAGGTTCCCTGAGGGATAAATATGGTGAAAAGTGGGCCAGGAGGAAGAAGGGGAAGAGTGGCCAAATCAAGGGACCGCCGTGAGGGGTCCTTGGGTTCAAAAACCGACCCCTTTAGCCTAACATGTGTTCTTCCCCCACCTCAAAACCCTGGAGGGAGTGGCAGAGCTCTGGCTCTGCTGAGACAGCTGCTGAGATGATCACCGAGTCTAGCGGCAGCTCACATTTCAGCACATGGTACAACTGCTCAAAGGCTCTTTGGAAGACCCGGGAGAATTCAGTGCTGGGCAGCTCTTCCTCCCAAGGTCTTCGGGCATTTGGAAATAAGGACCCCAGATACAACAACCCCATAGATATCACACAGCGGCGGCAACTCCATTTATTTGCATAGCCAGAGGTTCCTGCCACAAGCAGCAGCCTTAGATTACTGGTAGCCATCTCCCTCTAGCCTAGGGACTGAGAGATACAGACACATGGATATATAGTTCAGATTCCTTTCTCTGAGGTCTGGAGATCTGAAGAAACCATTTCCTCCTTTCCTGCCCCCTCTGTAAGACTACCTCTAGAAGTCCACTCAACTCACACTCACATATATAGAATTTGCCCATAAGTTAATCACTGAATATTAAATAAAACCCATTGCATAGGCTGTTCCTTTCATCACAGACACAAAGAAGGTGAGCGTGTGATGCTATCAAGGAACGAGTCTTGGAGCAAACATACCTGCTCCCTTCTTCTTTTCTTACCCCGTGGAAGACACAGCTTCACGAGCCTCACCTGGATCTTCTATCACAAAGCGAATTGGGGGGCCTTCTAAAGAATGACTCAGTCTTGGCTTCTTCTATGGCCATAGGAATGTTGTTCTCGCAGGTACCCTCCAGATTTCAGCTCCAGAGTGAGCCGCAAAAGGCGGATACCCTCAGGAAAGGAATCTAGAGCTTATAGTGCTTGAGTACTGCCTGGAGACCATTGTAGGGACTGGGACCAGGGAAGCTGGGGGATGCTCAGTATGTAAATCGCATCTTTTGTGAGTAGCCCAGTTTGTCCAGGTTGGGATGGCAGGCCAGCTGCACCATTGGGGGTGGCCCACAGAGCAGCAGCAGCACATCATCTCCTGGGGCGGGCAGGTGCTCCCGGATCAGGTCGGCAGTCACAAAGCCCTTGCTGTAGGCCCAATCTGAAGTATAGGGGAGAGGAGAGAACTAAAATTCCAGAAACATGCCAGCAAGGGGGTGTGGTGCCATGAGGATGGGCCTTGGGGAAGGCCCTGAAAGGCTGAGAAGGTATCAAGTTGTGGCAGCAGCTGGATGGGGACACTCAGCCTGCATCAGGCAGAGCCTCAGCATCACAGCCAACCACCCCGAGACCCGCGTGGTACACAGGAGCCCGAAGGATAGGGACCAGGAGACCGCTCTGTCTGGGTACTAGGACAGGGGAGTTTGGCAGTGTCAGGGAGGGTTGGTGTCACCGAAACCAGAACTCACAGAGGGGCAAGGCCATGCTTTTGATGAAGAGGGGATAGTGGGATGTCCAGAAATGGGGAGGATACCTGCTGGGGGATGATCCAGCGTGAACCAGAGCTTAAAGCGAGTAGGGTGTTGGGCCTGCAGTTCCTCCAAGTCCTCCCGCAAGATGATGTCCTTTTCAGTCTGAAATGCAAAGGGGAAGGGAAGTCTTTAGGCCCACATAAAAAAGTTTTTTGCTGTAACAATTTTACTACCAAGACAGAAAAAAAAATGTAAAGATTTCTAAAGTTCTAGGGAATCAGCAAGACTTGTAATGCTTTTAGGGAGTTAGGATGAGGGTTGGAAGAGGGGAACAGTCTTTGCATATTTGGAAGGAATAAAATATGGATTATTTAACCAAGAAGGTCCAA